ACTATCTTGACCTACTTACGGCGCAAACGAGAATATTTATCATCTATCATAAGCAGATGATATCCATTTGGTTCCATATTTGGATCACATGTGAAAAACAGATGGACTCACCATGGCGAGACCCACCATACTGGGGATGCAGTCCTCGTCCATTTCATCCTCTCTGTTTTCTCCAGGTCTGCGTCTCTATCAGAGTCACAGTGACATTTCATTAGTCACCTTCTCCAGCTCTGTCAGTTGCCTGATTAACGCAGAGGAAATGAGAGGATGTGAAAGGGAGAGGTGTGATTCTAAAAAAGAATGTGCAACTTCCACAGTGTCAGGTCAGTCAAGAGCGCCGGTGGGCCATTAGAGCCGGTGTCTGACTTCAGCGCAGACTTAAGATCTAATGGGAAAGCAGCATAGCAGTGTATGCTGTGAAAAGCGCAATGAATCTGCAAGAGCACATGCCAGTGAGACTTCCTTGTGACATTTGTGCAGATAGGATGGAGGTTGGAAGAGGAACAGACTGTGTCATTTAGGCTAAACATATAATAGTACAACCAAAGCATTTCTTCAGAATCGAAGTGCTTTTGACCACCAAAGATGCAGCTTCTAGCTACACTCAGTAATTGATTTCACTCAATCTTCTCTGTTCAATTCCGTTTTAGTCCCAGTTCCACCTTACAAGACTTCTACAAGAGAAACTCTCATTACTGTAATTATTTGCTAGGAGCAAAATGGAAATTGAACATATTTGTTTTTCTATATTGTTATTATTATATCCTGTCTATTTGTGTCCTGCCTTTGGCATAATCAGTTAATTGCTTCCCTCAATTATACCAGCAGCAAAAGGCTGCAGTGTGTTTTAAACTGACAGGATTCAAAATTACTTTTTGTTTGAATTGAACTACTAGTGATTCTTTAATATTTCCCCAAAACTTCTATTTAAGAAAAAAAGAGAGCTAGACGTTTTGAACATACTTCTGTTTCATTTTGTAAAAAGTCATTGTTAATTTGCTCTCAGTGAACTAGGAAATGAAATTACACATGTCGATGAAAAACACCATCTTGTGCTTTGGTTTCAGATGGGAGGAAATCCAGTCAATTATCCAGTCTGATTTAAGATGTGATGTCTGATTTTAAAATTAAGCAATGAATCTACAAAAAAGGTAATCGTTGACTAAATGGCAAGTCTGCAACATTTGCCTTTTCACTGATAGCAAAACATGTTAATAGTGTACAATGTTGAAAAACTAGTCTAGGATCGGCACTGAATGAAATTAAGTAATTTCAACAGGATTCCATGTGATCAGGAATTTCGTGTCAGGACGAAAGATTTCCTCATGCAAATTTCAATGGGTTCAAGTTCAAAGATTTTTCGTCTTGACCATGCTGTTTGGTTTGAAAGTGACTTCTGTGTGAGCTGTGATTCATAGATCGCAACGCTATGCTGACTGAAATTACACTAATGTGGATGCACCTTTAAGTGTCTAAATGCTTTTTGGCCTATTCTGATATAGAAACACGATGTGTTACCCAGTTGTTGTTAATTGGTAAAGTAATACGTCGAATAATATTTTTCTTTAACACATACTTTTTGTTCTTTTTTTGATAATAATTTCTAAACCATGAGTCAGATAGGATAATATTTTCTATCTGAAATCATAGACTTGTGATTCTGCTGGATTAAGGGATCTGATTTCTAAAATACAAGACATTCGCTTCATTAATAAAAACCGAAGAACCGCGTGAACCTGTAACCGCATTATCCCGTCGACCGTCCTCATTTTCTGTTGTTCACTTTAAATCTGAATCATCCCAGAAGATCAGGGTAATAAAATCATTGTCATGAAATAACCCCTCTATCCCA